AATTCACCTCGGCTTGTTCCGCCTGCTAACGTCAAGATCCATCTTGATAGCACTCCCATTGAATGGTCGAGTGAAGTAGTCTACCTTGGTATTACCTTCGATAGCAAATTGCTGTTTCGATCCCATGTGGACAAGACATCCACCAAGTGAAACATCTTGATTAGGTCCCTATACCCTTGTATAAACAAGCTTGCTGAAACTCCTCAAACTCACAGGAGGTTTTAATAGCGAATTCGTTTATTATTCAGTTCCAACCTGGATCGGGTATCAAGATTGGGTCTGCTTGTTTTCTGACAAACGTCAGTTTGCTCGTTTGTTTTTAAAACCTAGCTCAGGTTGAGGTTCACACTGACAAAAAGTTCGGTTTCGCACTGGGTTGGAACTGGTGTTAACCCCGATAATAAACGAATTCGCTATAAGACACTCTTGTCCTGCGAGTTTAGCCAGTCCTCACCTCGAGTGAGTGGCGGTAGGAATATGGAAGAAGTAAACAAACACGCATCGAGAGAGAGGGAGAGTGAACTTTAGCGAGAGGATGACTAAGTCGATGTGCGGTATAATAGGTGAAGAGAAAGGAAACTAGTGGACTCTTTCGTTCTCGCGTCTTCTTATGCAGCAACAGACGTCTGTTGCTGCATAAGAAGACGCGAGAACGAAAGAGTCCACTAGTTTCCTTTCTCCTCACCTATTATACCGCACATCGTGACTAAGTAAGGTGCGCTTGTCGAGACTCTGGATCAGGGCTCTACATGTTCGAAGCTCTAAAATGAACTCGTGTTTTGTTTCTCTCATACATACGTGTTCGACGCTTCATTTCTATAACGCCTAGCTAGACTATCAGCAAGAAGCGAAAATAAAAAAGCAGGACGCTTAGAAGGAAAGGCTGGCTGTGGAACTTCTCGTCGTTGCTTTGCTCATCGCTTTCAATGTAACTAACGTCGATTTTCTAGTTAAACAAAACCTCATTATGGCTTTCAATCCTCTTTCACGAACACTCTATCACCGCTCTTTTAATTTGTTTAAAATGCGTTATGTCCCGTTTACGATCATTTTGTTTTTAGATAAATATATGGATGGAAGATAAATTAAAAATATTACGTGTAATCTTTCAAGTTTTTTCACGTGAGAAATGCTTTAAATGTGTTATTTCATTTTCCGTTATATACGTCATGAAACCTCTGTTGATGTGTTTCATGAAAGAGAAAACTATCAAAGTCGAGCGCTCTTTCGCTCATCCGTTTCACAGAAGCTTGAAAGGAAGACCAATGGAGCGACGGGAGAAAGAGAGACAAGCGATTGAACATTTGTTTGTGCACGCCGACTGAGGTTCTAGAATGCTGCGAAGCTGTTCGACTTTAACAGAAAAAGAAAGCCAGCATTCTCTTCGTCGCATCGATTTGGTCGATTGAAGCTGATATTGTGACGCACGCCCTGCTCCGGATGACTTTTTTGTTTGACGCAAGAAGCTCAGAGTTTACCCAGAGTGAGAATAAGAGCGTGTGATAGAAAACATGAACATGAATAACAGCAAACCTCACTCTCATTTTATCCCCCTTCGCTCACAAGCTCTGAAGCTCAGTGGAATGATTTGGCACAACTCCTCTGAAAAATGCTACGCTTGGCTCATTCAAAATCGCGAGCGATGCTCCATCAAGCCTACTGTCCACAAGCAGATCATTCTGCCGGCTATTGAGTATGGTATGCCAATATGGGAGAGCTGTGCTAAGTGCCACAACCTAAAGCTTCAAAGAGTCCAACACAAGATCCTCAGAATGATCCTTAACAGTCCACCGCGATTTCGTAATTTTGTGATTCACCACCTGGTCGCTCTTCAAACACTCGAAGAGCGAAAGACTTCCATGCTGCAAATGTTCAGAGCAGTGATGCAAAATATCATGACACTCACTCGACACTCGTCAACGCATCAACCGACTATCGCTGACAGAACGATTTGTCACGCAGTGAGAGGTAGAGCAATGGCAAACAACAATCACCAGTAATGCTGGGTTTTGACTAGGCAAGTCAAATGATCAACTCAGTTGAATTCAATTGGCTTGAAAAGTTGAGCCCGGTCTAACTTTTTTTCAGTTCAAGTGAGTTGATCAAGTCAGTTGAATGGCATGGTTTAGACGTTCAATTCGCGTTCAAGTCAGTTGAATTCAACTGAAAATCCCGAAAAATTTATTTAGTTCACGTCAAGTCTAGTGAACTAAACAACCTTAAGGCCTTGGAAAAAGCTAGCCTTATGCTCCATGTCCGAGTAAAGTGGGAACACTTCAGGAAGACTGGAGGAAATTTCCAAATCCTCACCCATTGCCGTAGGTGCTAGGGATGGGGCCGCGGGACCAAAAATTGCTACTATGCCAGTTTAATGCATGAATTGGGGTGATAGTTCTCCTGTGAAGGAAGATCCTAAGAAATTTAAATGTTCAAACTGTGGAGAAAACCACAAATCCAATTTTTGGGAATGTAAGACTCGCAAAGCAGTCCTACAATCTCGTTCTGATTGACAGGTAGGAAACGTTCCAAGTTACAGACCAGGATATAATTCCTCTGCTGTTAACAACGGTCAGTGAGGAACAAATTCTACATTCGTACTCGTAGGTACCAATCTCATCCCTGCTTCAAATTCGTCATCGGTAATTAACGACCTTTTAAAACGACAAATCTCATCAGCTATGATCTTGAGCCGATTAAAACTCTATCTCTTTCTCGCTCATACCGTTTGATTAAACTGTCTCACTTCAATCTATATCTGGTTCGATTGATTTTTTTTTACGAGAGAGAATGGTTCGGATTCGAACTTTGGGCTTAACAACGAGTCTCCAGTCGCTGTAAAATGAATTTTGGAAGGCAGCTTGTATGCAAGCGTTTCGTTGTATCCGAACTAACAATACGTTTCATTTGTGGTAGTGATTTCAATTTAACCTAAGTAAGCGTGTAATTATTCCACAAAATGAATAAATGTAAATGGTAAATAAATAACGTGAACGATAATTAATATTGAAGCACAAAAATAGATGGCGAACAAATTATAAATTCAAAATAATACTTGGCAATTTTTAATTATATTTACATAAACGTGACCATGCTACAACCTGCTCCCCTCGCTGCTGACAATGTTCAGCGAGCAAATGGATCTATCTATGCTACTATTACAGCTGGTGGAAATCAGAATTCTAGCCAACATAATTCTAACGGAAATTTTAACTTGGGAAGCACTACTGCTCCTAAAATGGAACTATTTGATATCCTGAAAACCAACTCCATGTTTGATGCTATTCAAACTGGGTTTAAATTTACGGACAATATCGTAATGACATTCAATGTGTTTTTATGTTACTTCACACGCGAAGTTTGCGATTTTCAGAGATGGTTGGAAATGCTATCTATCATGAAGCTTTAGTGTGATAATTTATTAGCTACCCATTCGGTCTTAGAAGAGGTATGTAGGTAGTTCCGTTAGTGTACGGCAGCACAAAAATTGAATAGAAGTTGAAAATGAGCGAAGGACCATTAATGCGACAGTGCAAGTAAAACGCACACTCTTTGCCTAACCCGTACGATGTACGCGTGGATTTGAAGTATGTTTACAAATCTACAGACAAAACGTGTACACTTGACTTTGCTCAAATACTATCTGCGGCTGTGGAATAGTTCTAGCGACGTTTCATCACTACCTAAAGTCCGGAAGCATTTCCAGTCGTTGGTGTGTTATAATGCAATTCTTCTTTACCCAACTATTGTGTTGCCCCTCTCGTCATCGCCGTGTACATCGTATGGGTTAGGCAAAGAGAATGGTTCTTCGCTCATTTTCAACTTCTATTCAATTTTCATACTACTGTACTTTAACGGAACTATCTACCTACCCTCTTCTAAGACCATTTTCTAGCTAATAAATTATGTTAAATAGCATTTCCTAGTTGTAATCGTAATGACTTTGAAATTTAATAATGGATTTTAAATCATTAAATATTTTGAATTGGAATGCTTGATCTCTTAAAGATAATGAGGACGAGCTATTCAACTAGTTGAAAGTTCATAACGTGCATATTGCTGTTATAACTGAAACGATCCTTAAACCTGACCATAAGGTTAAAAGGGACGCTAATTATTTCATTTATCGAAATGATCGACTTGAGGGAGCCTGTGGTATCGTTGCCATCATTATTCTTAAACGTATCAAACATCAAATTCTTTCTTCGTTAGAAACCAAAATAATTCTGGAGAAGGCCTGGCCCCCTTGGCACCCCCGTTAAGTACGCCAATGGATGTAAACATCTCTTACATCGAAAATATACTATTTTATTGGCATAACATCTCTGATCACGCCTTCCTTCAGAATGGAAGTAAAGCCGTTGGTCCCCGGTTCATGAGTTGATGGGTCGATAGGTAGAGGGTGCCTCCATAGAGGTAACTCTAAGACCAGAAGGTCCCGAAGAAACGAGCTCAACTTTTTGGCTCAGCTCTGGTACTATCTTCGGTCCCAAGCTAATCGGTTCACCCCTCGTAACATAGGAAAATCCACTAACCCCTCATTTTATCTGTCAAACTTTCATAGCGAATCATAACAAACATAGTGTGGTACTGGAATTTATACTAGAGTGGGGTACGTTAATAGATTTGCTTGGGACCAATAGGCTAGTCAAGTAGTGAGCCAATTTAAAATCGTTAGTTTCGTAATGATTGTTGATGCCTCTCTGGAGTCGGTAGCATTGGTGCTCATCACGGAAAACAAATCAAGGGCAAAAAATATAAAAACCACTGAAACATCGCTGAGACACGGCAATTTGAATTTGACCCCAGTGTTCAGATAAGGTAAGTTTTGTTTTGGCCCTAACCAAAGGTTGAAGAAAGAAATCGTTGCCAATCTTTGGAAGAGGCAAATGCTGCAGCATTTTTTACGGAAAGGTTTTTTAATATTGTCTTAAATTCTGAATGTTTTTGAAAATTGTAAAACATGACAATGTTGCGATATTCTGAAATTTAGCTGTACTTACCTTTTTCACCATCGTAACCGAAATCTTGACATCGTCCATTTGGTATTACTGAAAAAGAACAAAAGAAAAATGTTGAATGTAACTGTCTCATATGAACTCTAAGACCAGAAGGTCCCGAGGAAACGTGCTGAACTTTTTGGCTCAACTCTGGTACGCTCTTCGGTCCCAAGCCAATCGATGCACCCCTCGAAACATAGGAAAATTCACGAACCCCTCATTTAATCTGTCAAGCTATCATAGCGACTCAAAACAAACATAGTGTAGTACTAGAATTTCGACTGGAATGGAGTACGTTAATCGATTTGCTTGGGACCAATAGGCTAGTCAAGTAGTGGGCCAATTTGAAATCGTTAGTTTCCACCGGTTGGTAGTACTTCGAAGCTTTGAGTAGCATTTGGATCACCACACAGACTATAATCTTCGCGAAGCACTTAATCATGGTAGTCTAAATTTAGTTATAATGGTAACAATAACTACTTCCATCATCAAGCTTATTTGTATAATCACATCCCATCACAATGTGAATGCATCTGGCTCTGATGAAGTGTTCTATCAGCATCAACTGATGATTCAATCCATGTGGCTGATTACACTGCAACGATGCAACTCTGTCCATCAATTCGCTACAGTTACCTACCCGCCTAACAAAGCATGGGGGAACCAACTGATCATTAGGCACGTATTCAATCTTTTTTTGTTTCAATTTCACCTGTGCGACCCGAATGAGACATGGTCTTTTAATTATGTTAAACAATTTAAAGCGACAAACTATCAGAAATGACTTCCAACTGTCATAATGTGATTATAATTCGATATCGGTTGCATCAAATCAAAATCAGTTCCCTTCGTTGGTCGAACATCGAATGATGCTGTCAGCGTTTGTATCAACATGAACACACTTGTGATGGCATCTGAAATGCAAAGTTATAACTAATGTAATCTGTGTTCAAAGTTGTTGTAGATGATGTTGCAATATCATACAGATTAGGTTGCAAACAACGGTAAGTTTCAAGTACCATTCTTTAAGCGGGATGAAATCATAATAATCATCAACATTACAGCAGCTGGGTAGGGAGTCGTTTTGTATCGCTAGAATGTTGAGCAAATTTCAGTTGAAAAGTACAAACTCCTCTGGCTAGATTTGCAGAGCTCCGATGAACCATTGAACCATTGCACAGTGGACCAGAATGTAGATTTAAATGGAAGGATATGTTATAGCTGAGCTAATTTCAAGCAACTTTGAACTAGTTAACTTTTTTGTTTAAGAGATACACCGATTTAGAGTTATTTTCTTGAACTGAGTTACCCAGACAACCAGAAGTCGTATAATAATGTACAGACAGTATCATAAATTGCTACAGTTTTAGTCAAAATCGCATATAAGAATGGCATACCTCGCATTATGTTTAAGTTAAATCGTATAGAATGCAAATTTCCGACCAATATGCGATGACTCATTTTTCCATCGTACTGTATCACAAATTAAATCGGATTACATCGTAAGACTTTTCAAAATGAATTTGTTATTACAGATTACATCGTAAATGATATTAAATCAACTCGTTTAAAATTAAATTAAAATATGCACGTATATGGCCTCCACTTTTGTACGTATAAGCCATTTCTTTGCATTATATACGAATTGTTTGTTTGTATATATGTTTGTACATCACCAAAACAACTTTGAATATACGTGCATTCTGGTTGTCTGGGTAGGGTGTCACTTAAAAATACAGTTGTTTTGCTCTAGTTTTCTAATTTCAAACTTTTCAGCAAATATATCTTCTAATAACTTTTAGATCTTTTGAAGGCGCAAATTTTTGCTGCCACATAGCTTATCGATAGCATTTGCCGATCAAGAGTTATTGACGTTTTTCCACTAAAAATAATCCCTTTCAAATGTTAATAATAGGGCCCAACAAAGTCACTTTCAATCGGTAATCGTCAAGCGACGACGAAGCTGTCAACCATCACTTTCAATTGAAAGTCATTCTGTCTTCTCTTCGTGCAGATGTTCTTCAACATCAACAGAACCACTTTCGATCAGTTTTCATTATGTTTGTATAGTCTTGTCTAGTGTTCATTTCGTCTTTTATTGTCAAAAAATCACTTCATTCGAGCTGTTGAAATGACGTTTACTACCACTCGAACTTTGAAATAAAACATTATTGTGAGATTTTTTCTTCTAGAACCTAAAGAAAAGTAGCCATAATTTGTGCGTTTCATTAAAAAATAGAAATTAGTTGGTCCAGTTTTGTGAAATCACTGGTAGAAAGTCATGCCAAAACTGCTTGAAAAAGTGGTCAAATGAACTTACTTGCGCATTGAGGCTAAGCTGTTCGATCCAAATTCACGTAGCTTTTCTGACTTTTGGTGATTGTTTACTCGGTTAATTTAAACGCATGCTCATTGATTTGTGCACGTGGATGTAAAATTTATCATTGTCGGGTGGTTTGTTTACCCATCAATATGGGTATTGTTGGATTCGGAGTGACGTCTAGAGGCTGAAAATCGATATCCGACGCCATTTTGAAATCCAAGATGACGGCTTCCGATAACAGAAAAAGTGGGAAATACTGTCAAATACCCACCAATATGGGTATTTTTGGAATCGGCATGACGTCTATAGGCCTGAAATCAATGATCGTCACAATATTGAAATCTAAGATGGCAGCTTCCTTTTTCAGAAAAAAAAATGGGAAATACCGTCAAATAGCCATCAATAGGGTAATGTTTTAATCGGGGTGACGTCTAGAGGTTGAAAATCGATATCCGACGACATTTTAAAATCCAATATGGCGGTTTCCGATATCAGAAAAAGGGGAAAATACTGATACCGACCCTCAATATGGATGTTTCTGAAATAGAGTGACGTCTAGAGATTGGAAGTAGATGTGCGACGCCATTTTGAAATTCTAGATTGTGGCTTCCGGTTCAAAAAAATGAGGGAAATACTGTCAAATAATGGTATTTTTGGGATCGGAATGAAATCTATAGGCTGAAAATCGATATCCGATGCCATTTTGAAATCAAAGATGGTGGCTTCCGATGTCACAAAAAGTAGAAAATATTGTCAAATACCCATCAATAATGGTATTTAAGGAATCGGCATGTCATCAAGAGGCCGGAAATTGATGTCTGACGCCATTTTGAAAGCCATGATGGCGGCTTCTGATCTAAGAAAAAATAGGAAATACTGTCAAATACCCATCAATAAGGGTAGTTTTTTAATCGGGGTGACTAGAGATTGGAAATAGATATGCGACGCCATTTTGAAATCCAAGATGATGGCTTCCAGTTTTCGAAAAAGTGGGAAATACTAACAAATACCCATCAATATGTGTATTTTTGGAAACGGGATGTCGTTTAGAGAATGACAGTCGATGTCTGACGCTATTTTTAAATTCTTGAAATTTTGAAACAGGGTAATGTCTAGAAGCTGGAAATCAATATCCGATGCCATTGTGAAATCAAAGATGGCGGCTTCCGATTTGAGAAAATGTGTCAAATACCCTAAAATATGGGAGTTTTCAGAACTAAAATATGGAAATTTTCAGAACGTAGATGTCGAAAATCGATGTCAGACGCCATATTTAAAACCAAGATGGTGACTTCTGGCTTCGGAAAAAGTGGGAAATACTGTCAAATACCCATCAATGCGGGTTTTTTTTTTAAATCCCAGCAATGTTTAGAGGCCAGAAACCAATGTTTGACGCCATGTTAAAAGTTAAGATGGCGACTTTTGTTCAGAAATAGTGTGAAATACTGTCAAATACTGATCAATGTTGGGTATTTTAGGAATCGGGGTGACAACATGGCGGCTTCCGATTTTAGGAGAAGTGTCAAATACCCTACAAATGGCGTTGAATAACGATTTTCTGCATGCACGCGCCGTCCCAGTTCCAAAAATACCCATACTGTAGGGTATTCGAGACTTTTCCTTAGCCCGATGGCCGCCATCTTGGATGTGTTCATTTAATTTTCATGTAATATAAAATAACATTTTATTACTACATAATCCATATGACATCCCTATGGGCAATCGATATTGTGTGGATACTATCTGGATACTTTGTATCGATGCCTGACGACGCGACGCGTCTCAAGTCGAATGATCCCCGAATTGAAGTGAAAGGGGAAAAAAAAAAACGAAGGGAGTAGATTTCGTGTCATTCATTGCGTCAATTGAAACAAGTCTTTGCTTCAAGTGAAATGAACGGATGCACTTGACGAACGAAACAAGCGATAGTCAAGTCATGTTTGACAGGAGGAATGTTCATCGTGACTCGGTAACAAGGAACACAATGATTTACACGAAAATGATATTGCTCGAAATGAAGCGATACTGCGACGAGTTCATTTTCTTTTCTTTGTTTCGAAAATGCAGAACTCTGGTTAATATATCTGGTTGGGCAAAAAAAAAGCACTTAATTAATACTAGGGGGTAAGTACTTAAGGGGGTTAGATTTTGATAAGTTCTTTAGTGGGGATGACACTGATGAAGACTGCACATTGTAGTCGAAATACTTACCTGTCATGGATACCAAAATTAATTAAGTGGAATTAAATGGAAGAGGTTTTATGTGTCATACACACACTTTACATACTCTTCTTGCATCTTGTAAATAAGAATTATCATTAAAATATTTATTTATGCAATTTTTAAAAAATAGCATTTAACTGTTATGAGCTTTGCAAGCTTGAAGAAAACTAGAGCAAAACCACTGTTTTTGACGTAGAACTACGTTCGTGATTTCTATATGGAGGTACACTTGGTGAAAACCGAAAATGGAACATGTAACAAAATTATGAAAGATTTTGAATGTTAATAACTCAGCTGCCCCTGGACCAATTTCAATAATTTGTACACCAATCGATCAGAAATATTTCTACGCATCTGCTAAACTGCAACAAATGTGCAATTGTTGCTATAATAGTTAAAATTAACACCGATTACCTGCGAAATACGATTTCCGTAACACAGATTTCAAAGTTGAATTCCATCCGGTCTCACCAAACGCTGTTTATTCGATCACCTCGTGGTGCCG